TGTAGGAAAAGAACATCCAGGTGTTGTGAGCGCATCCACTGCCGGAGGATGTCAAACTTGTAGGAGCTCAGTGAGCAGATGTTCCAGCTGAAGCCAGTGAGCCGGTTTTTTCCGAATTTTGGCCGGTGGAGCCACATTGATCTTCTGCCTGGAGTGGTGACCTTGGTCATCCAGAGAGGTTGGAAGTTGTTCAACTCCAAACATGGCTGCCGTGAAAAGCTGACCTTTGTACCATGTGTGACCATGAAGTTAGGCTCGTTTGAGTGCACGAATATATGCCTTCTTTTTGCGCTGAGGTTTGTCCGAATCCAGGTGTATTGATTTAGGTCCTGTGCCACTTGGCTTTGCCGTAGATAGGGTGTTGTAGTCCAGTAGTTGGTTGGCTTCACTGGGTTGTGTGGCAGACCCAGAACCCTCAGGCCACCAGGGTGGAGCTTGGGGATTCAAGGCACTCTTGTGGTTCACTATGTAGGCCATGATGAAGCCTGCTAGGCAATGAACAAAGAGGCCAGGTCCAACCCTGGCCGGGGACTTGGGACCCCGGTGAGCTTTTCTGCTCGGTGCTGCGTGTGACCGTCTCCTCTGTGGTCTGGACCTTTGCCAGGTGCAAGAAGAACTGAGGTGGTAGTAGAGCTTCTTCCAGTGGAGCCAGAAGAGATAGGCAGTCACGGTCACGAGGGACAGGAAGTAGAACCTGAACAGGTAGGTCACAACCTCCTGGGAGAAGGGTTCTTGTCCTCTGGGTCCGGCAAAATGATGGATGTAGGACCGGTTATCGAGGATGTCGTTGATCGCGTCTGTCAACTTTGGGTTGCCCATGAACGAAAAAGACGTGACCGCACTTCCCCCGCAGCACCGTGGGGATGGGGGTTGAGCCGCTCATGGCCCTTGTCTTCTTCCTCATCATCATCATCATCATCATCACCCTCATCATCAGAGATGTCTTTCTCATCGTCATCCTCCCCAGCCTGCTTGTCTATTGGTTGTGTCAGTTGCATGGGCTCCGTGGCCTCGTCATTGCCACCATCCTGTTCCCTCGTACTGGATGAGTTGCCTCAACCTCCGTGGCTGTCTGGGCCACTGGGCAAGGGTCACTGCCACTGCCGGTGCTATCTGAAGCGCACGGCGCCTTACATCAAATCAAACGGAGAGCTTGATTGATGGACATCAAATCACCAGCGCTGTCTTGAGGGTCATCGGAACATCAAGCCGTAAACATCAAAGTCAAAAGGACAGTCGGAATCAAAAAGTATTTTTTAGCAATGTTGGCTTCCACAGCTTCTGCTGCAATAGCCGGGCTCGCAGCCGTCCTCCTCCATTCTCCTTCATTCAATGCATCAGCATTGCCGTTGCTGGGGCGAGTTCTGGTCCCTTTTTTCCGCCGCTTGCATCTCAGATCCCGCGCCATCACACCTTCCCTCCGGGGCGTTCTTTGCGCAACTGCTTCGCAGCAATGATTGTGAAAAGACAGCGCTCACCCGCCGAGCTGCCTCGCTCACGGATATCTCCGTGCCCCATTCTCCCTCTGCTCACGTTGCGAGGGACGCGGTCCTTGGATCTTCACGCAAGCTATTTTTCTTGCGCTCGTCAAGGAACACCGCATGCCCCCGCATGCTCCCCAAAAGCCAAGTTTCAACAGGGACAACGCCCTTCCCACACAAAGAGGCCACCGAAACAGACTTCACATGTTTAGCCCCTGTGCCACATGGCCTTCCAATCAGCCACAACGTACAGTGGCAGTGGCCACCTAAGTCCTGAACAATTGACTGACGACTTACGCAATTCGTCTTGCCGTGTGAAAAGCACAGCCCCTCGTTGGAGTCAGCAGGCAAGGAAGTAAAGCTGGACATGGAGTAGACAATTGTCCGCCAGGAGCTGTTGGCCCCGCAAGTCATTCCTGTCTTCCCTCACCTTTGAAAATCACGCGAAACGCTATCCGTGCAAGGCTCTCCGCAGCGCGGAAGACTGAGGGGTGGCCAAAGCGTCGCTCCCGCTTCACTACAAACAAATCTTCCAGACCTATGGCTTGGTATGAGCTTGTTGCTGTTGCAGCTAGTTCACGTTAGGCTTTTTCCTTTTGGAACCGTGCAAACCCGCCTCGTTCGACAAACTTCGCTCATGGAACCAGCGAATGCAAAGAGCCCTCATAGAACATTAGACCAAGTACCGTCACCCAACCACGCACATGTGTCTCAATGGCCTGCTCGTTGACAAGGGGGAGAGCCATTGTGACCTTCGCTCCTTTGCTTCCTGGTTTCTCCAGGTCCCTGCCAGTAGCAAGTCAGAGGATCTTCCAGCTGAGATCGAAAGAATTGATTTTTGGATGGGTCACGCTGTCAACGAACAGACGATGACGGTATCCGATCCGAAAAGCGCCTCAAGCCCTCAAAAAAACACCCCCAAAACCCAACTCAAATCAAAATCTCAAATTTCAACAAAGTGCAGGTAGAAAGTGGGATCTAACATCAGGGTTGGCGGTCTGGGCGGTTCGGTTCGGGTCTGTGCGGTCTGGGCTGCTGCACGCGGTTCGGTCCACGTCGGTTCGGTCCGGTTCGGTTCGGTCTGCCGCGGGGAGCAACCCCCGAAACACTGCTGTCTCATGGAAGGTAGGCTTTCGGGGGTTGCTTTGCCCAGCAACAGCA